TTTAAATAGACAATTCAAAGTATATGAATGCAAGACAATATAGGATATTCATTATAATTTTCACTAAAATAAATGTGTGTAATTTGTAATTGGGTTACTGGTGGTTGTTGGATATTTCGTTGGTAAAAACTCAATAACAATCCTACAAAAAGATTATTATTTTAAGGAAGAATCGGGAAGAAAAGGGTGAAGAGATATAGCTCGAGTTCGGTGTAGGTTGTTAGCACAAGTCGAGCGAAACACTCTTTCCTTAAAACCTTATTTGCTACCTCCCACAAGTGCTAGGAGCGTTGTAGCCTAGGTTTCCCAGGATAAAACGTGCTACGGTTCAACGTTTGAGCACCCAAACTTTGAACCCGTGCGAACAAGAGCAAGGCTTAGAACACAGTACGCTAAAGAAATGAGTAGAAACAGAGATTTTGGAGCTGAAAACTATTATTTTTTGTTCTTATAAAAATGTTGTTGCTCTACCCCTTCTTATATAGGGTTGTTGGAGTAATGACATTTATTTTGACATTTAAACTAATATAAAAATCAGATTGCAACAGTTGAAACAACAGGCCACTACCTGAAAATTAAATTCAGAATTCAAAATTGGAATTAATACAAGATTAATTCTGTAACGGATGAATTTAATCTTCACAATAGTCACTTTGGCTCTTGTTGTCAGCACACGAGAGCTTTAGTGTAACACCCCTAATTTTTAAAACAATTAAAAGCTTATATAAATAACACAATCTATCATTGAACATCCCAAACAGAGCATAAACAATTCGTAAGAGTCGGGGTGCTATGCCACACCTAGGTTTGTGAACCTAGGTGCACAGGCTAAACTACAAATCATATGTAATGATCATAAATTAAATACAATCCAAGGCACGCAGGCCACTGCTATTAATAGTACTAACTATACTAAGACTACGAGTCCATCTAGCACACTCCTTAGCTAATGATCATCACCTGAAAAACATATTATAGCAACCGTCAGCGAATGATGCGGAGTAACCCACTCCCACGCGTTAACTACAATAAATATAAATATAGGAAATCATTTTGAAACTGGAATACATATATAATCTTAAGCAACACTAGCTTTCAAATCAGGATCAGGACTCAGAATATAGCAACGGAACGACATCACGAATACCACTAACATGCGTCCTACGTTTATAAGGCATAACAAACAGGCAAGCAGATAAATAACAATTAAAGGCAAGCAATGGGATCCAATAACAATCAATTAGCAAGTAATCATCAGAACACACAATTCATCTTTCAACCTTATACCAAGTTCCGACCTTTACTCCTCTCCATCCTTATATCAGTTCCAACCTGTACCTCCAGGCCACCCTTATATTGCCTCCCTTATCCCTCCGGAGCAACTACATGCCCCACTCCTTAACCACCAACAAGTCCACCAGCATGGTAGCACCGAAGTGTCATTCGCATGATCCGTGCCTCTAGCACCACTACCAAGGGGCCAGCGCATATAGCTCTGACATTACAACGCGGTGCTTATACCCTGACCCAAGCCTTTAGCCAGCAAGTCTAAGGGTGGTTCGTGCCTTTAGCATGATAACCGAGCACTCGTTGTGCTTTCCGCCAACAATTCATTTCCACCAATCACAATCTCATTCTCATCAGTCACATCAATCATTGCGCAATGATCACAACACTCATCATCATTCAATCATTCAAGACTCAATCAACAATAATAATCAAGGCATAATTGTAACACCCCCGAATTTACCAACATTTTAAAAGCTTAATTAAAGGAAAACAGTCTAACATTAAGCATAAAACAAACTGGAAGCTAACATAATCCGGGTAGTGCTATGCCACACCTATACTAAAAGATAGGTGCACAGGCTACAACTAAAACCATTGTCAAAAGTCTACGACTCACAGGCCAAACAGAAAACTAGAACAAAACGAGAGCTACACTAACTACGGTTCACACCTGTAAAGAGATAGAGATAACACCCTGTCAGCGAAAGATGCTGGTAACACACCAATACGCGTTAAGTATCGTAATATATAGATATAGGGAAAAGCATTTGAGACAGTGGAATACAGTATATATCATTTGAAAACCTGGAGATGAGACAACAATAAACATATCACACTCTCAATAAAGATCAAGACTAACAACTTCAACAAAGCAATAGAGACCACAATCAACAAGTGACAACCACAACTCTAGATGCAACCTACCATTCACAAGGTAAAGTTCATCACACTACTACAGAACAGGTCATAGGCGTCTAAGCAAATGGACAATAAGAGTCCAAAGTTGCTTGGACGCCTATGCAGAGGACGCTGATTGTCATAGAGAGTCAGCGTCCAAAGTTACTTGGACGCCTAAAACTACAATAGGAGTCCAAAGTTCGTTGACTTTGGACGCCTATTGTATTTATTTAAAAAAAAATTACCTTTAGGCGTCCAAAATTTACGAAACTTTGGACGCCTAAAGTATTTTTTTTTAATTTTTTTTAAAATATAATAGGTGTCCAAAGTCAACGAACTTTGGACTCCTATTATATATATATATTTTTTATTTTATATTTATTTGATAAAATTTTCAGTTTTTTCCTGTACAAAACTATCATTCACAACCTGTACATGCAGCCACAATCACTATACTGTGAGTTCAATACATTCACAACATATATATATGTAAACTAAATTAAACTTCAATACACATATACTATTACCAACACTTTAGCACTAAGCAAACTAAATACATTCACAACATATATATATGTAAACTAAACTTCAATATATTCAATTCACAACATACATCAACACTTCAAAGGTTTAAACACAAAGTAAACTAAACTTCATTACTAACACTTTAACACTTTAATGCCAAAATTCACAACACTTCAAAGTTCTCAACAAAAAGTAAACTAAACTTCATTACCAACACTTCAATGCATAAATTCACAACACTTCTAAGTTCTCAACAATTCAAATGAAAGTTCTCAACATTTCAAAGTTATATGCATTCTTCAATAAAATATTTAGACCAAACCTCACAAATCTCATCAATTTGCTCTTGTGAGTAAGGCTTTGCATCAAATGCCTACAAAAATTTAAAATAATAAATTAATTAGTTTCACATTAATAAAGTATAATTTAAAACTATTTAATTTTAATAAATTTTACATACCGTGTCTAAATGTTCAAAATCAGAATATAGAGTGCATATTTCATACATGTATCTCATCACATAATATCCGCACTCCACACCACCCGGTTGTTGAGGAGACTAAAAAATATGAGTTTTTATGTATATATATTATTAAGTTAAACAATAAAAACATTACTAATAAAATTGTAAAAAATATTAATATTTTTTTTTTGATATATACCTCAATTTCATCCCAAGCAACGTTGTTTTTAGGTCTTCTCCCTCCTAAATTTACAACCGATCGAAATTCCCTATAATATACATTCATAAAGAATTTATAAGCTATAATGGATAATAATTCTCAACCAAACCGTTTCTTTAACCCCGCTTGAGACTTGAGACCATTTATCAATGTTAATGTCTATGTGAGTACGAACCAAAATGCCAAGGTAATTTGAGTACTTCCTTGCATTTGGGCCAATAGGCCTATTCAGGTTATTGAACTCAATTAACATAGTCTCATCATCTGGCTTCTTCTTTTTCATTTTATTGCAAGTTGTAGCTCCTCTTACTTTACGCACTTTGTTAGACTCTGTTTTCCTTGAAGGCTCCTCTACCATTGGATCTGTGTGATCGCCGGCCCCGGCCATGAATTTGTATACCTGCACATGCATAAGATAACTATGTTAAAAAGAACATCTTATAAAATATAAACATGTTATAAAAAAAAATAATAAGATTACATTTTAGAAATTATACTGTCGGATGGTCAATCCACAATCCTTCTTCATGATCAGTACGCATGTAATTAGTATCAATGTTATCTTCACCTAAAGCCATAGGTTGAATACCAATAAAAAATGGTGGGGTTTCATCAAATTGGTCATATTCCTCTTCATCCACAACATCACCAACACCAACAATACTTCTTTTGCCTTGTAAGACAATTGTGTAACATCTTACCATGATTGGTGCAAGATTGGTTATGGCCTTAATAGCCATTAAAGAGTGCTAATGGTAACAGTTGTAACGGTTACCGTTACAACTGTTACAAAGCCTATATTGATGGTTAGATAGGCTATATAAGTGAGGTCCTCCCACTACTCAAGTACTGTCAATATACTGACAAAATATACACCATCCTATTATACTTGAGACAAGTGGGAGTCACTCTGCCCAAATCACTGCAGAAATTCAACTAAGACATTATACAACAACACAAAGGCAAAACAAGCAAACAACTATGGCTGGAGGTTAGTCCTTATTATCACATATACAATGTTGTATAAATGTATATGTGCCCATTAATTCTTTCATTTGGTATCAGAGCAGGTTTATCTCTGCTTAGTTGTTCAAATTGCTATTATTTTGTAAAAGTATATTCTGAAAACTTTATATGCAATTTGAATATTGGATTCATATGTGGCTGGATTTGTATGCGTATTGCTTCGTATAGTATGCAATCTGTATACGTATTGCTTCCTAAGTTTTACAGTGTGTATATGTATATGCAATCTGTATACGTATTGCTTCCTAAGTTGTGTATATGTATATATATGTAAAAAAAAAAAAAAAAAGGGAAATCCAACCTATAGTTACGGAGAAATTTTTCTCCGATTTTGGTCTCCCTTTTGGCCCTTCACCGTTGATCCTGTGATGATTTCGGACGGTCCCTTTCCGGCGACTTTGATCGCTTTTGGAACGGTGATTAAAACCGTGTCTTGGGATCTCGGAGTGGATGGCGACGGTGTCGGCAGCTTTGCGGCTGAGGAACGAAGATGGAGGGGTGGCGGTGCTGAGGCTCGGGCGATGGTGGCGAGCGAAGTTGCTTTCTGCCGTTGGCTTCGACCGGCCTCTCTTCCGGCGATCTCTCTCCCTCTCTCCGTCGGCTAAGGATGTCGTCGTTTCTTCCGCTTCAATCTGCGCTGCCAGGTTCCTTTGTTAACTGAAAGGGAATATAGGTATTTTTGTTTGGGCTGATGGGTATCTATTTAATTGTTTAAATTAGTTTAGGTGGTTTGGGCCTTTGTTTAAATTTGTTTAGGTGGTTTGGGCCTGCTTATATAAATCAGCAATCATAAAGTTTGCATTAATATAATTTTTCAAATTGTTCATCAATCTTTAATTGTTTTAATACATAATTTTAATTTGTTATGGGCCTACAATTTGGTTTTAAAGTATTGTAAAAGATATTGTTTTAATATAGTTTTCATTCAAATTGTAAATTGAGATTGAATTTAAATTCTATTATTTTGTAAACTCATGTGTTAAATTGCTATAATGTTTGTGCAATTTATTTGTTTAATATGAGTTTGTCTTTTGTAATATGCATATTATGTCCAATTAGCATAATTCTAATTTATTTCAATTATGCGATTTATTTTATGCCTTAGAAATGCATATTTTAGGAATTTCTTAAACTCCTTAGTACTTGGACTTTGGTAGTGCCTTTTAGGAGTTTGTTGAATTCCTTAGAAGTTGGACTTTAGCATATTGCGGTTATAAAAGTACATAAGGTTTAGTACGACTATGATAGTGCCTGAAGGTTAGCACATTAAGATCAAAAGTTCACCTATTCTTAAAGTCTTTTTCCAAACTGTGAACATCAAATTTTTGAATCAACCCTTCAAAACGTTATGCTATAATATGAGAATGCATGAACCGGGGAAAATTTCTTGGGAAGAAAACTAGAATAGCCAATATGCTACTAGTTCCCTTGGAATCCTACTCTGTCTAAGGAGTTGGTATTTAACCGAGTTCATCTCGACCAACTTTCCTGGGAGTATACTCGGTAATTGCTTATCATGTTAAGTGCATACTTGGTTTTGTTAAATCTATGCCGATGTGATAATACAAATTTAATTAGTTAAGGAGTAGCCACAGCATCATTAATTTAATTAAAATTGTATATCAAGTTTTTCCAAATCACATAAAGTTTAGGCATAAATTGTGATTAATTGTATGTAATATGACGAAATTTAGCCCACAGGCAATTTTGTTATATTTGTATGGTTAATCAGGATAAAAATATCAAACTATGATCATAATTTAGCCCACAGGCAATTATGCATCGGCATATAGTCTTTGGTAGTTTTATCGTTGAGAATAGAAATTCAACCTTGTTCCCATCCCATTTCTATTCTAAAATTTTCTAAGGTCCCTTTTGCGTAAAAATTTAGCCCACAGGCAATTTTTATGGCATTTGGATCTTTGACATGCATCATTTACATTGGTAATGTATGCGATTCAGTTAATTTTTATGCCTCAAAATTCTAATCCAAACATTTACCTTTACAGCATCTCAATCCGTTACTCATACTGATTTGAACATCGAAGTTCCCGAACTTAGGGGCGACAACTACAAAATTTGGAAAGAAAGGATTCTTCTAAGTTTAGGGTGGAGAGACTTGGACTTTGCTATCCATAACGTGCAACCACCGGTCCCCACTGAAAAGAGTACCCAAGATGAAATTGCACTATATGAGCGATGGAATAAGTCCAATCGGCTCATTACAATGTACATCAAGGCGAAAATATCTGATGGGATTCGGGGCTCCGTTAGTGAGGAGCATGACGATGTCCAAGCATTGCTCAAGTCTATTGACGACCAGTTCGTCACCTCAGAAAAGGCTTTAGCAAGCACCCTCATCATGAGATTCTCCTCTCTCCGTCTCACTTCCGTCAAAGGTGTGCGTGCGCACATCATGGAATTGCGGGACATTGTGGCTCAACTTAAGACTCTTGGGGTAGATATGTCGGACGACTTCATTGTGTACTATGCTTTGTACACCCTACCATCACCGTATGGACCTTTTAAAATTTCTTATAACACACATAAGGAAAAATGGTCCATAAATGATTTAATGACCATGTGTGTTCAAGAAGAAGGAAGATTGGTGATGGAAATGGGAGAAAGTGCCATGCTGGCTACGGCACACGAGAAGTCTAAGTCTGGCAAATCTCGAGGTTCCACTTCTAAGGCTAAGGGGAAAGGAAAACTTTCACCTCAAGCAGACATAAAGAAGGTGCATAAGTGTTTCTTCTGTAAAAAGAAGGGGCACATGAAGAAAGATTGCATCAAGTACAAAAAGTGGATCGAGAAGAAAGGTATTCTATCCTCATTCGTTTGTTATGAATCTAATATGTCTGAAGTTAACACTAATACTTGGTGGATTGATTCTGGTTCAACAATCCACATTGCAAACTCTTTACAGGGAATGCAGGATCTAAGGAAGCCGGTGGGAAGTGAACGAACCATCTTATCAGGAAACAAGATGGGGTCACAAGTGGAAGCCATTGGAACATGCAAGCTTATTTTAAGTAGTGGCTTTGTTTTGATTTTGAATAAGACATTTTATGTACCAAGTTTCTCCCGAAACTTGATATCTGTTTCTAGACTTGTGCCGTTGGGTTTCTCCTTTAATTTCCAAGACAAGCGTTTTGATATTTTCAATAAATCAACATGTGTTGGATACGGTACATTGTCTGATGGTCTTTATCGTTTAAATTTACAAAACAATACCAATTATAGCTCATTGCATGTTCACTCCGGTTCCAAAAGATCGAGTGTTAGTGAGAACTCTTCTATGTTATGGCATCGGAGATTAGGTCATATCTCCCTTGAACGTATAAAGAGATTAGTAAATGATGGAGTACTTAGTACTCTTGATTATACTGATTTCGAGACTTGTATAGACTGCATTAAGGGAAAGCAGACGAACAAGTCTAAGAAAGGTGCCAAAAGGAGTTCAAGCATATTGGAAATCATACATACTGACATTTGCTGTCCAGATATGGATATGCCAGGTCAAAAGTATTTCATCACCTTCATTGATGATTACTCGCGATTTACCTATGTGTATTTGATTCATAATAAGAATGAAGCGTTGGATGCCTTCAAGTCTTTTAAGGCTGAAGTTGAGAACCAATGTGGGAAACGAATACAGATAGTAAGATCCGACAGAGGTGGTGAATACTATGGTAGGTACACTGAAAGTGGACAAACACCTGGTCCGTTTGCTAAGTTTCTTCAAGAATATGGGATTGTTGCCCAATACACCATGCCTGGTTCTCCGGACCAAAATGGTGTTGCTGAAAGAAGAAACTGCACGCTTATTGATATGGTGCGGAGTATGCTTAGCAACTCAAAACTTCCTAAGTTTTTGTGGGCCGAAGCACTTAAGACGGCTACGTATATATTAAACCGTGTTCCAACCAAGGCTGTCCCAAAGACGCCATTTGAGTTATTTAAAGGTTGGAAACCGAGTTTGCAACATATGCGTGTTTGGGGATGCCCGTCTGAGGTGCGGATATATAACCCACAAGAAAAGAAGTTGGACCCGAGGACTATTAGTGGTTTCTTTATTGGATACGCACAGTCCTCCAAGGGATACAGATTTTATTGTCCATCTAATTCAACTAGGATTGTGGAATCAAGAAATGCTAAGTTTCTTGAAGATGACATGATTAGTGGGAGGGATCGGTTCAATGATTTGATTTCTAATCATGATCATATTGAATCATGTCCTTCTACGTTATCATATAGGTTGATAATAATTTCAAACACCCCTCAAGTTGAAACGGGTATTGAACGACCTATTGAAGAAGTTCCACAAAATGCTAATATTATTCCAATTGATCAACCAATTCAGGAAATTCCTGAAGTGGTAATTGAACCGCTAACTTCTCAAGAAGACGGTAGTTCAACTTTAAGGCGATCTACTCGTGGGAAAAGACCAGCAATTCCTAGTGATTATATAGTGTATCTGCAAGAGTCTGATGTTGGAGCCGAAAATGATCCTGAAACGTTTTCACAAGCCATAAACTGTAAAGAATCAGATTTATGGTATGAAGCCATGAAGGAAGAAATGAGTTCCATGCGAAGCAATAGGGTTTGGGACCTTGTTGAGTTGCCTAATGGGGCCAAGGCCATTGGCTGTAAATGGGTCTATAAGACTAAAAAGGACTCATTAGGCAACATCGAGCGATACAAGGCTAGGCTCGTTGCTAAAGGATTTACTCAAAAGGAAGGAATCGACTACACGGAGACATTTTCTCCTGTGTCAAAGAAAGATTCACTTCGTATAATTCTGGCTTTAGTTGCACATTTCAATCTTGAACTGCAACAAATGGATGTGAAAACGGCGTTCCTTAATGGTGATCTAGAAGAAGAGGTTTATATGAAACAACCTGAAGGATTCTCTTCTAGTGAAGGTGAACATTTAGTTTGCAAGTTAAAAAAGTCCATCTATGGTTTAAAACAAGCTTCCCGCCAATGGTATATAAAGTTTAATGGGGTCATTTCTTCATATGGATTTATTGAAAGTCCCTTAGATCATTGCATATACCAAAAGACAAGTGGGAGTAAAATTTGCTTTCTTGTTTTATATGTGGATGATATTCTACTTGCAACTAATGATAAGGGAATGCTGCACGAGGTTAAGCAATTCCTTTCTAAGAACTTTGATATGAAAGATATGGGCGAAGCATCTTATGTCATTGGCATAAAGATCCATAGGGATAGATCCCGGGGTACTCTCGGACTATCGCAGGAAACCTATATCAACAAAGTCTTAGAAAGATTTCGGATGAAGGATTGTTCACCAAGTCCAACTCCTATAGTGAGAGGAGATAAATTCAGTTTGGACCAATGTCCAAAGAATGATTTTGAAAGAGAATCCATGAATAATATTCCTTATGCTTCAGTTGTCGGATGTCTCGGGTATGTTCAAGTCTGTACTAGGCCGGACATCGCCTTTGCTGTTGGAATGCTGGGACGATATCAAAGTGATCCGGGTTTAGACCACTGGAGAGCTGCAAAGAAGGTTTTAAGGTATCTCAAGGGTACCAAGGATTACAAGCTTGTGTTCAAACAGATGGATGTTTTGGACATTGTTGGATATTCTGACTCGGACTTTGCCGGTTGTGTTGATTCTCGGAAATCAACTTCGGGGAACATTTTTATCATGGCCGGTGGAGCTGTTTCATGGAGAAGTGTTAAACAAACTCTTGTCACCACTTCAACCATGGAAGCCGAGTTCGTTTCATGTTTTGAGGCTACATCTCAAGGTGTATGGCTTAAGAATTTCATTTCGGGGCTTAGAGTTATGGACTCTATTTCTAAGCCATTAAAGGTTTATTGTGACAACTCAGCTGCAGTCTTCCTGGCTAAGAACAATAAATGTGGGAGTCGAAGTAAGCATATCGACACCAAGTACTTAGCTATCAGGGAGCATGTTAAAGATAAGAAAGTGGTCATTGAGCATATAAGCACTGAGTTGATGATTGCTGATCCCTTAACTAAAGGCATGCCACCATTCAAGTTTAGGGATTTTGTTGAGAAAATGGGACTTGCGCCCACTTTGTAAAGTTTGTATACATACAGTTATTTTTATGCAATTCTTAAAGCATTCAGATATTTTCTCATTATTATATTGTGCACATATTGTTGAGAAAATATATATCTTATGGACCTGGAATAAACATAAGGTTTATCACTTAAGTTTTGGTTAAAGCACATAAAGTACTTAGAGAACAAGTTACATTGTGATTATAGTAGATACTACTCGTATTAAGAGGACATATCTCTATGGTTCATGTATTTTGTTTCTTTTAAGTTTGTTCTTGCACCAAGTGGGAGAATGTAACATCTTACCATGATTGGTGCAAGATTGGTTATGGCCTTAATAGCCATTAAAGAGTGCTAATGGTAACAGTTGTAACGGTTACCGTTACAACTGTTACAAAGCCTATATTGATGGTTAGATAGGCTATATAAGTGAGGTCCTCCCACTACTCAAGTACTGTCAATATACTGACAAAATATACACCATCCTATTATACTTGAGACAAGTGGGAGTCACTCTGCCCAAATCACTGCAGAAATTCAACTAAGACATTATACAACAACACAAAGGCAAAACAAGCAAACAACTATGGCTGGAGGTTAGTCCTTATTATCACATATACAATGTTGTATAAATGTATATGTGCCCATTAATTCTTTCAAATTGACCACTTACTATCAATAGGATCAGAAATATAGAAGACTTGTTTAGCTTGAGATGCAAGTATAAAAGGTTCATCATGATATCCTAGTCGACCAAAATCAACTAAGGTAAAACCCAAATCATCTACACGAACACCCTGCCTGTTATCAACCCAAGAACATCGGAATAGAGGAATCCTAAACACCTTATAATCAAGTTCCCAGATTTCATCAATGACTCCATAGTATGACATAGTAGCATCTACCGGGTTAGTATCTTTAGCACTAGAATACTCTCTTGATTGTGCTACTAATGTCACTCCACTATTTTGCACTATACTTTTTTGATCTTGACGTTTTGTGTAAAACGTATACCCATTAATATCATATCCCTCATAAGTGCTCACAACTAATCCAGGGCCATACGCTAACCACCTAATGGTTTCAGTGATATTATTTGGCACTTGAGATAACTCTTGCATCACTGTATCTTTGAACCATGTGATAAATGTACAATTGTGTTCTTTTGTCACCCACATTTCACCCTTAGAAGGATTTTGTTGCCTTATAATAGACAAGTGTTGTTCCAAACATGGATGAACCTCAGAAAGGTGCTGCAGTACGAGATAATGTGCTTGATTTCGGATTATTTGACTTGGGACATGTGTTTTGAACCCAATGGTACCTTTTCCTGTGAGTCTTCCCTCATGACGTGATTTAGAAACACCAATGGACTGAACATTAGCCAAATAATCAGTACAGAAATCAATGACTTCTTCAGCGCCATAAGCTTCAATTATACTCCCTTCTGGCCGATATCGATTTCTGACATATCCTTTCAAAATTCCCATGTATCTCTCAAATGGATACATATACCTCAAGAATACAGGACCACACATTTTAATTTCCCACACCAAGTGAACTGTTAAATGCACCATAACATCAAAAAATGATGGGGGGAAATACATTTCAAACTGCATAAAGTTATTACCACCTCAGCTTGCACAGAATCCAACACCTCAGGATCAAGAACTTTACTACTAATGGCATTGAAAAAGTAGCAAAGCTTTGTAATAGCTTGTCTAACATGGTTAGGTAATATTCCTCTAATAGCAATAGGTAACATATGTTGCATTAGCACATGGCAATCATGTGATTTCATACCAACTAATTTAAGGTCCTTCATTGAAACAAGCTTTTTAATGTTAGATGAATAGCCAGAAGGAACCTTGACACCATTTAGGCAACTACAAAAACTTGTTTTTTCCTTTTTAGATAGAGTATAACAAGCTGGAGGTAAGTATGCCATCTTTCCAGATTCTTGAGGTGCTAATTGAGTCCTTATCCCCATTTCTACCATATCTTTTCTAGCTTTAATGCCATCTTTCGTCTTACCCTGAATATTCAACAATGTCCCGATAATGCTATCACAAATATTTTTCTCCACATGCATTACATCAAGACAATGTCGAACAGATAAATGCTCCCAATATGGTAAATCCCATAATATAGACTTCTTTTTCCAAATACCCTTTTGACTTGTTTTTGAAGTTTTCCCCCACACATTATCAATGTTTTTGACTCTTTCATAAACAACATCCCCTGATAATGGTAAGCGAGCAACTCCAGTCTCAGATTTTCCATTGAAAGCTTTTTTCCTCTTTCGATAAGGATGGTCAATAGGTAGAAAGGTTCGATGACTCATGAACACATTCTTCCTACTGTTGTTCAACCAAAGATCAACTGTTTCTTCTTCATAAACAGGGCATGCCTTAGCCCCTTTAGTAGTATACCCTGACAAGTTACCATATGCTGGGAAGTCATTGATTGTGCAGAATAGCATGGCTCGTAAAGTGAAGTTGGTTTGACTATGAGCATCAAATACTGTCACACCTTCATTCCACAACATCTTTAAATCTTCAATAAGCGGTGCCAAGTACACATCTATGTCGTTTCCTGGTTGTTTAGGACCAGATATTAACAATGATAACATGATGTACTTGCGCTTCATACACAGCCACTGAGGAAGATTGTAAACTGTTAAAAGAACTGGCCAAGTGCTATGGCGACTGCTCAGGTTACCATGAGGATTCATTCCATCCGTGCATAGTCCAAGCCTAAGATTTTGATTTTCAGCACCGAAATCAGGAAACTTCTTATTAATGTTCTTCCACTGAGGAGAATCGGCAGGATGTCTCAACTTTCCATCTTCTTTTCTCCCACTAGCATGCCATTGCAAATTCTTCGCATCCTTTGCATTTGCAAACAAACGTTTGAATCTTGGAATCACCGGTAGATACCACAACAACTTCGCTGGAGAACCTTTCTTCTGGTGGTCACATGCATCATCAAGCCCTTTTCGTTTATAACGTGATGCTCCACACTTCGGACAAACATGCATGTCTTTATATTGATTCCAATACAAAATACAATCATTTGGACATGCATGGATCCTTTCAATCTCCATACTCAACGGGCATAACATTTTCTTTGCTTCATAAGTTGAACAATGAAGTTCATTCTCATTAGGAAGCATGCCCTTTAAAAGCTCTAATAACTCCGTGAAACTCTTATCACTCCACCTATTTTTTGCTTTTACGGTATACAATTTAAGCACTGCCGATAACTTTGTAAATTTACTACATCCAGAAAACAAAGGTTTTCCAGAACTCTCAAAAAAACTTTCAAACTCTTGAGGCATTTCATTCAAATCCCCTTGCATATCACACATCAATTCATCTAGCCGGTCATTGTCTCCATCATTTCCAACATTATCTTCATTACTTTGATCTTTCTCTACATTTTTTCTACAGTTTCTTTGATTTGTACCCTCACTAGTAGGTACAGTTTCACCATGCCATATCCACCGGTCATATCCTGGCTTAAAACCCCGACGTATCAAATGACTCTTAATTGGTTCAGAACTACGAAACTTTTTTAAATTTCTACAATCATAACAAGGACACACTATATAATTTTCACCAATTTGACTTGCATATTCCTCGGCAATTTTTATAAACTCTTGAACCCCATGAACATATTCAAGTGTATTGTTTTTTTTATACATCCAACTCCGATCCATATCTCCTGTAATTCATAAAAATACAATCCATAATTAATCTAAACTAAACTAAGAATACATATATTTCTTAAAAAACATATTTATATACAAATCCATATAACAAAAACATATTTGTTATAAACATAATCAAATTCGTATGCATTTATATACATAATACACAAATTAATAAATTTAAAACATATTAATAATTAATAGGTTTACTTACTAAATTAATTTGTATAATTATAAATATACAACATATTTGTCTTTTTACTCTTTTGGGCAGAACATACTAATTAGATTATAACTTAACTTTTTTACTTCCGTAAAGTGTTAAAAGTTCGTGAAGGCATAACTTTTGACTCGGCTGTCTGTTTTGGACAAATTTTTTTTCAAATCGTGTATTTTTTCTCTAAAAAATGCTTCTTTTGTTCTTAATTTTAATTTTAATTTTTTTTTGTAATTTCTAATATACATCTACATACATGGAAATTTATAAATATATTAAATATTATAATTCCTTAACAGTAAACATTTTCTAACAAATATCATAACTTTGATTTATAATAACAAATAACAAATAATAATTATAACAAATAACAAATAATATTTATAACAAATTAATAAATTAAATAACAAATAACAAATAATAATTATCAAAAAAATAACATATAATATTTATAACAAATTAATAAATTAAAATCATTAAAAAAAAAAAAGAAAAAAACCGAACCTGCGTGGGCAGCAGCGACGGACCGGTGGCGGCGGCGCTGGGCTAGAGACGCCGTCCGGGGCTGGTGGCGGCTGGAGGCGCTGGAGACGCCGTTCGGGGCTGGTGGCGGCTGGAGACGCTGGGCTGACGACGACGACCGGGGTTGGTGGCGGCTGGGCTGGAGACGACGGCGATGGAGGAGTGGAGGACGACGGCGCTCGATCTGCTGTGACGGACGGCGGCGACGGACTGCGATGGTGGCTACGGAGATGACCAGTGGCGCCGGCGACGTGGTGGGAGGAGTTGTTTGGAGTGGTGGTGGGGATTTGTTTGGAGTGGTGGAGGGTTTGTGTCCGATTTTTGCTGCATCTGAAGAAGAAACCCTAATAATAGGAGTCCAAAGTTACACAGTTTGGACGCCTATTGTTTGAGCGGTTTAATAATAGGAGTCCAAAGCTCTACAATTTTGGACGCCTATTATTTTACCTTTTAGACGGATTACTAATAGGAGTCCAAAATTGTACAACTTTGGACGCCTATTCATTTTAATTTTAAAAAATAATAATAATAAAAATAAAAATTGGCATTTTAATTACAAAAATGCCACCGCATTACACTTTAGGAGTCCAAAGTTCTACTTTTGGACTCCAATAATATGATTTTATTGATATTTTTTGTACTAGTGTCATAGACATGCTCATAATCAATAAAGCGAGGTTCATACTCACAACATGTTCCATGTCCACATAGGACATAGCCAAACCGAAGCATACATCAAAGAGTCATCTCAACGACCCGAATCATAGTGGACCAATGTGGAGGACTCCAAATCTTCGATCACATACCATAGAGTCATCGCAATGACTAGGACCGCAGCCCAATGGAAACAGATCTAGCAACTTTAAGTGTATACACCCCCTATTGAGATTCCAAGTTCAACGGGTTAGTCACTATTTCTGGAAACGGGGATAAGTTTTCCAAGTTGCCCACAAGTCATAAGTATCCAAATGGCAATCCGGAGCTTTAAACCCACTACCAGATCAATTCACACATAAGTCCCCACATTGTCCACTTTACCAATTCAATCATCTCATCACATCCAAATCTAACATCTTAACAAGAGTCAATACACACGGAATCTAGAGATACAACAAAGCATAGAATCCACACAAGGTGGGTACCACAACGTCAACGGATAATCTCAACAATAGCTTAATCATGGAATGATCAATAAAGTACCACATTTGTCCAAGATCACAACTCAAGGGATTCAATCAAGAGGTTTCAATGAAAGACATGAAATGAATACTCAACAACAACAATGGACTTCAATCCAATACCAACATGATTGGCAATCCAAGTTGCCAATCCTCAACAAAAAAGAACAAACCATACATACTAGCATAACGACATCAAAACTAGCATGCACATCAAATGGGTAAACCAAAATGGCTCCAACGAACCTTCAAGACTCATATTAGTCCAACGAATCACAAGGTTCGACCCTAAGCACGATTCAAGACACCAAATCCTAACATGGATTCCTAAAACATCGTTCTAGACATACGAAACATCGAGAAGACACTCAAAAGCTCAACAATCCAACAACGGGAGGTCAAAACATCAAATACCAAAAGGAAAGAACCACGGGGAAAACAATTCCCCGCAGGTGGAGCCATGGGTAGGCCACCACCCGTGGTCTTGCCCGCGGGGTACAGCCCCACAAAGCCACGTTCCCCGCGGGTGGGGCGGCGGGTAGGCCACTGCCCGCCGTTCCGCCCGCGGGTACAACCCTGTACACCACATTTTCCCTTCGGGAAAATTCATCTCCAAGGTCAAGTTCAAGTCCAAAACACCCAAATCCTCACATACAACAAAGATATGACTTGAACCCAAGAATAGCTCAAAGGAGGGAATTCAAGAACCCTAAATACAAGCTCTTAACATGCATTATCATAAGATCATGCATCAATGTTAGGAATAAATTGTAATAGATTTTGATAAGCCATATTGTAATTCGTAGATCCCCAATTTTATTTTATTAGACTAAGTCGAGTCTTAGACCAAGAAAGGGAAAAATAAATTCATTAATTGAGGAAATGGATGAAGAAGATATCAAGCCAAAAATCAAGAATTTGTCAAGAGAAAATGGCAAACAGAAGAGGAAGATGTATGCATATGAAATTTGAGAAAATCACTCAAGAAATCCCGAAGAAGAAAGAACGTGACTAGAAGTTTGCATGAAGCTATCTTGAAGATCAAGCATCTATGGAAAGAAAGGAGTACACTAAGTGAAACTAGAAGACGACTAAAAGGCTGTACGGACGAGATGGTAGAAGCTTGAAATATTATGTGCAAGGTCATAGGTTCAAATCTCACATCTCACATATTTTGAAGAAGCCAAGTTAAAATTCCATCTGATCAAGTAAGAGGCGATGGTTTGGCCGAAGGGATACAATTTTCAAGTCAATGGGATGAGATTTCAAGGTCAATGGGATGAGATTTCCAATTTGACTATGGGATGAGATTTGCAAAATCAAAGGGAGGCCGAAGGGATACAATTTTCAAGTCAATGGGATGAGATTTCCAATTTGACTATGGGATGAGATTTCAAGGTCAATGGGATGAGATTTCCAATTTGACTATGGGATGAGATTTCAAGGTCAATGGGATGAGATTTGCAAAATCAAAGGGAATGAGATTTCCAAATTGACTAAGGGATGAAGTTTACAAGTGAAGGGATGCAGTTTCTCAAATTGGTATCCCAGACAAATTGGAACCCCGAAATTGAAATTGGAACCCCGAAATTGAAATAGGGATGCAATTTCATAAGAAGAATTGAAGTTCAAATTGGTACAGGGAAATCAATTTGAAGGGATGAGATTTACAAGGCTTCAATTCAATTAGAGATATAGATTGCAAGGGATGAGATTGCAATTTCAATTCAATTAGAGATATAGATTGCAAGGGATGAGATTGCAATTCCAAATCAAGTAAGGGATGAGAATTCAATTGACAAATCTAGCAAGGGATAGAGATTTCATTTCCCAAAATAGAAAGGGATGAAGTTTCACAAGGGAAGAGATTTCCAAGTCAATTGAAGAGATGAAGTCTGGAAGCAGTATACAGACCCAGATACACGAAAAACAGAGGAAGATATTAGAAGAAGTTGCAGGAGCAAAAATACTAGTCTAACTAGTAAGGGATTATATTGGAGAATATATTTTGAAGATAAAAATCCCAAGAGGTGTGAAACATCAAGCTCAATTTGAAATATCTGACAAGATCTGCAACGTTATCTTATCTTCTGACAAAAGACTATACAACTAAGCAAAATTCGAAAATGAGACCGTTTCTTTCCAACGGACGGATTCTCATTACCAGCTATAAAAGGATGAAGATTGAAGCTTTGGAAAGCAGAAGCAAGAACGCAATAGAGCAAGAATACAGAGCTAAACAGAGCATACAAAATTCAAAGAAAGCTTTCCATCTCAGGAGCTTAAATTGATATATCTTTTGTGAGATAAACACTCAGAGTGATACAGAGCTTAGAAAAGAAATATCCAAGAGTGTTGAAATCTTCATCAACTTCAAGAGATTAAGCGCATCAACGAAGATCATCTACAGAATCTCAAAGTTGGAAGCAAGGCAAAACTTGTTTTGGAGCAAAACAAGGGAAAGGAGGAAAGTAACACGGAGTTGTGAAATCCTGGATTGTCACACGGAGCTGTGAGATCCGAAGCAGCAGTGTCGGGAAGACATTGGGCGTGATTGGTGTGGGCTTGGTGATCAAAGCACCAGATCACGGAAGATACGTTTCTACCGGATCGTAGAAGACGGGGGGAAAGTAGCACGGAGTTGTGAAATCCTGGGAAAGTAACGCGGCGACGTGAAACCCGAAGCAGCAGTGTCGGAGGCACTGGGCGTGATTAGTGTGGGCTTGGTGATCAAAGCACTA